AGATTTTGGATGCCTATACCACCTATAGACACACTTCGGAGAATTTGCTCTTTGTTAGAGAAAAATCATTAGAAAAACTAAAATTCCTTGTCATTTAATTCATTTAAATTTAGTGCGGATAAATTCTGACGCAATCTGTGCCTTTTCCTGTTGTACAACAGCCAAAATAGTTGGTAAATGCTCCATTTCAAATTTGCAACTGCCAATTCGACAGTCTTTGTTTACGTTTTCATGAGCCCACAGCTGATCGATCAGCTGTTCGGATGCCAGATGCACTTTGACGCTCTGTGGGAACACGAGTTTCGCATCTGCGAAAAATCCCAAACGTTCCTCACAGATGCGCTGTGTGGGAAGACAGTATAATGCATTATTCTAATGCATTAGAGCCCCATATAGTCGTCTTGCTCGCACTTGTGTAAAACGCTATAGCGCTGTCAAATCTTTAATGAAGTCTCTAATTAATGCGGCAGTGTCATGCCAGAATAAGAAGAAGAAATCAGAGTTGCCCCGAAAAACTATCGCCAAACAAAAGGTCGGTAAATTTAGATGTGCTTTGATGCCGGTCCAATTGAGAAAATTCGGAACGGCAAAACCTTATGGACAGTTTTTTCAACGGACGGTGGATGCGCTTTGACGGTGTGTGGGGAAAACCCTATTAAACAGATTCTTAAAATGTAGGTCTATGTATCGCATAATTCTAAAATATCGATTAATCGATATTGGAATCGATTTTCCTTCCATTATTAATAAGAGGGGTGAGTGGGGATAGGTGAACCACGGGGATAGATGAACCCCTACACTAAATTTGAAAAGCAAATAAACTTTACAAAACAAAATATGGTTTTTTGCATAATACTTAAAATTCCAAGGAATGTGGGATCTTTTAGCTTTCTATATACAGCAGACCCTTACGTCGAATTGTTCAGACATAATAATGTTAATAAAAAAAAAAGTGGTTCACCTATTCCCACTCTCCCCTATTAAATTTATTACGTTTTTATGTCCAAACTTTTTATGTCATTAATAGATTTCATTGATAGAATGTATAGGAAAATGTAAAACTTTGAATTTAAAAGTTTAAATGTTACTATCTGGCAGTGTTCCCAACCGTTACATGATTATCCTATACGATAATACTGTACAATTGGCACTATTGAGTATGAAAACACTCAACGCATGGTGACGTTTTATTTAAATCCGTTTATCTCGCCAAAAACGCCTCAACTTGACTGTCCAATAGAATAATTTTCTGTCAATAAGTTCGCCCCTCTGGCGACCGTCCTGCAGGACGTAAAAATCAACTAAAACAAAAAATTCAAAGATGTTCTTGTTTAGTATGAATGTGGTTATGGAACAGACTAGAATTATAAAAAGTTAATAAAAAAATAAAAAAAAATGGCGGCGATTCCAAAATTTTGTTTACGTTTTCGTGAAAATTTTCGTCACTTTTTTGTTGATTAAAAATCCAATGTATAAGCTATCAATGTAATTGTAGTCTATTCCATGGACACTTTCATTACGCGTATTTAAAAAAAAAACCTTAAGATTCGTTAAAAATTGGCTGAGATAGGCCGGTCGCCAGCTCGAAAAATGCAGTTTTCCAGAAAACGTGTTTAAAGTTTTGTGTTTGCTCTGTACCTCCTTTAAGTCGACCGGCTCGGAGGCTCATATGTAACTTTTAAACTATTACGTATTTCGTTTTGCCCTTTTAGTATGATATTCTAGACACTTATAACTATCAAAAAAATGAAAAAAAAATTTTTTTGATTTCGAAAAAAAAAACATTTCGATTTTTTTTTTCAACTAACCAGAATGGACCCTTAATGAAACTCAGCCTTGTGTGTTTTCAGGATTGAAATTTATATTATTATCAAAACCAAATTATTACACAGGTACCAGCCAAAAATTTCCACGAACCATTTCAAGTTTTCCATGATATTTGGGTGCTCCTGAGTAAAAGTCCCATACAAAATTATTTTCCATCACCTACAGGTTCCGCGGTATACCTAAGAATACAAAAATCCCATGTTTGCCGACATTTTGAATTACGTGGCCTATATAATTGGACTTACCTTTATTATTTTTGGTAGGACCTACTCTCAATACATCACGGCACTACTAAAAAATAGTCCCAATCATGAACCATTGCCCATGTCTTTGGAATTCGACGCCAAAGTTGAAACTCCCAAAATTTTCAACATTTCTGTGATGTAAAAACAATTCTGAGAATTAAATCTTATATGGAACTAATTTTAAATATTCATTGAATCTATTGTTCATTGTATTCTTTAATTTCGGTTTAAAGCGTTTTCATGAGGACATTTTATTGGATTTATTAAACGAATAAAACAGCTTTTTTGGTTTTATTATCTACTCCTATTTGCTGTCAAATTTCAAATAAGTCAAGGCAACCTATAAAATAGTAGTAGATATGTTTCTTTTTATATATAATATATATTTTTTCTTTTTGACTAAACTTAAATATGTAAGGATTATCGCTGGCTACTAAGCTGTCTTAAAAATGTTATGTTCGGAAGACCTTTTTATTTAATATAAAACTAAATTATTATTATATATAAAAAGAAACATATCTACTACTATTTTATAGGTTGCGTTGACTTATTTGAAATTTGACAGAAAATAGTAGTAGATAATCAAACCAAAAAAAGCGGTTTTATTCGTTTAATAAATCCAATAAAATGTCCTCATGAAAACGCTTTAAACCGAAATTAAAGAATACAATGAACAATAGATTCAATGAATATTTAAAATTAGTTCCATATAAGATTTAATTCTCAGGATTGTTTTTACATCACAGAAATGTTGAAAATTTTGGGAGTTTCAACTTTGGCGTCGAATTCCAAAGACATGGGCAATGGTCCACGATTGGGACTATTTTTTAGTAGTGCCGTGATGTATTGAGAGTAGGTCCTACCGAAAATAATAAAGGTAAGTCCAATTAAATAGGCCACGTAATTCAAAATGTCGGCAAACATCGGTTTTTTGTATTTTTAGGTATACCGCGGAACCTGTAGGTGATGGAAAATAATTTTGTATGGGACTTTTACTCAGGAGCACACAAATATCATGGAAAACTTGAAATGGTTCGTGGAAATTTTACAAAGTTTAATTTTGTGTTCCTGTGTTATATGCTATGTATAAATATACAACTTTATTTTTTTTCTATTTATTTAACCGAATGGCTCGATTCTTAATGATCCAATTGCAATATGCAAGGGTATACAAACTTCGGCGTGCCGAAGTTAGCTTCTTTTCTTGTTATATGTATATACAGGCCTGCTATCGGAATGTTTCGTTTTCTCATCGTTTCTCACTGCTCAAGCAGCTAACTTGTGTTTTTGGTAATAAGCAAACAACGTAAAGTACTGCCTATTATATTTACAATTGCCCTTTTTGTAAGCCAGAAAAAGGCAAAAATGCTAGAGTTAAGCAAATCTAGGCACCTAAGATGCTGCCACACTTTTCACAGTTTTAATTCCGGTGGTCTCAAATAATTATTTGGTTAATTTGGACCATTTAAGTAATCACATTAAATAGCATTAATTATAAACAACCATTTTGGCGGTCCTTTAAATTTATTAATGTATTCATTTATATTTCATAAATATTTTTAACTGGCTGTTTCGTTCCACCAACAATATGACAGCCTTGGCGATAACTTTTTGCGGTAAACTTATCGACCAATCGCCAAAACGAGAAAACTGGTTGAACACGGCAAAAATTTTGGTGTCAAATCTGAGGTGGGGTCAGAAATAAATTTTTTATAAAATAACTACGTGCCAGAATGATCTTGTGGTGGTGTCAAATAAACATCAATAGACCACTGAGTAAACTATTTTTTTCCTTTTGTAAATAAGATCTGATTTCATATAAAAAAAAGCCATTTACTTTTCATTCGATTCGATTACCGGAGCACCAATTTCTCGTTTTCAAAAACGAAAACGAAAAAATCTTGCCGTTTTCGATTACCGGAGCAGGCCTGATAATCTTAAGCCTAGTACTCTGACGAGAAAAACCCGCTGTATAAATTAGACAGCGGAATCGCTGTTTATTTCGCTACCGAGCTAGTGTGACCAAAAAAATTAAGGAAATTCCATGAAAATGTACTTTTTATGGCGTTTAAGGATTTTCCTTGGTCACACTGGACAGCTGTTTGTAAACAAATATTCAAAAAAAATATTAAAAATATTAATAAATATGGCATTAAAATGTCCTTTGTGGGTTAAATTCCATATTATGGGCATCCCCTTGACAGCCCCTATCAATGCCACCTTTTTCCTTCAACTTTCCCTCCATTAGGGGTGTCTAAATAAATCAAATGAATTATTTAGACAGCGCGATATCAGCTGTTTACTATCTTGATCTGGCAACGCCATTCAATTTTCGCAGGCTTCATTTTCGTCGTCAGAGTACCGAAAAAAACGACGTGTCTAAAAGTTCTTCTTCTTTTTTTTCGACACCGTTTTTTTTATATGGAGTTTGGCCGCTGTCTAAATTTATACAGCGGTTTTTTCTCGTCAGAGTACTAGGCTTTAAACATTACAATTTGTTCTAAAATAGGGATTTTGACGTCGGTGTTTGTTTTTGACACTAATATATTTTCTTCCCTCCTTCACCATCTCTCTCTAATTTGCGAACTCTCACAATCGCAACTCCAAACGAAGATCGAAAACAATAACAATTATGAAGTTCGAACTTCGCGAAACACTTTGCAGAAGCCGAACATACATACATACATAGGTAGAATTTTTCGACTATTTTGTTTCGAACTTCGCTGAAAGAGGCTTATGTATGTTATTTGTATTTCGAACATGCTGCCAGGAATCGGACGGGAAAGAAATTTGGTACTGGAGGGTACGTACAGCACCCTACTCTAAAAAAAAAAACAAAAAAAGCTTTGAAAGCTTGATTGAAAACTTTTAATTCATCCACCTTTTGTTGCTTAAAGCTCGGCTGACAGTTGTATGTAATTCCTGTAGTCAGCGGTCGACTGTTGCTCAAAATGTGCGCTTATTTTCTGGTGTAGATACATATGTACATTCTATGTACTATATACCAAAACAGCAGTTTGTGATGTGGAGCTGCACAGCACAAATATGTACATACAAATGTGTAATAAAAATTATATAAAGTAAATATACGAATATATATTTTTATACATTCAAAATAATGATGTATGTATGTATATGTACAAATTAAGCCTCATTGTTTACGTACTTACATACATATGTACTTATGTATGTGTAAAAGGTTATTCCGACCAATAAATTTACATACATACATATCTTATGTCATGGTTTTTTTAATCATACATTGTATGTAAATATGTACATATGTATGTATATAAGAGCTCTTACTACCCTGCAGTACCACATTTCATCAATAGGCCTTTTCATCAACAATTCATCAACGCGCCGACTGCGACACCGACAGAATCGACGCTCTGCCGACTGCTACTTGAACCCGAACTCCCTTCGGAGACCCGACCTCCCTTCGAGTCCGATTTGTTGGTGCATGCAAAAAAAAAAAAACAAAAACAATTTGCATGGGCTTCGTTTTTTGAAGTCCGAAACAAAGTAGAAGACGCAATTAAAATAGATTCTCGAAGGTTCGACTCCATATTTTCGGAGCAGCGGTTTTCGGTTTCGTCTTGCTTCTTCTTATTCCCTTGCATTACAAGTTAAAGTGTTCTCCACTGCAGAAGTGTCGTGTGTTTAAAATATTAAGAAATCAAATAATTCAATAATTACGTTCCGGGCCATATTGGAATATAAAAAAGGTGAGTAAAAAGATTGTTCTTAATTAAATAGGAGCCTATAAATGTACATATATTATTTTATTTATTATATGTATATAATATATTATATTTATATATGTATGTATGTATTTTCTTTTCAGACTGCTGTAATGGCCAATAAATTGGGTAATTTTATTTAATTAAATTATATTTTCCCTTGATTAATTATAATTTTTTCTGTAGATGCAATTTCCCAAGTGACTAAAACTGAGCCTCCAGAGAAGATACTGCGCAATAAATTTGGTCTTCATGAATAAAAAGCGGAACACCAAGAATCAAAAAGACCTTAAGGCCTTTTAATATATGGATGTTTAATCTTAATTTTTTATATTTGTGTTTTAGTTTAGGTATAGAATTTGTAAGAATAAATAATATTAATAAAAATTTAAGAGTTTTATTTTTATATATGAAAAAAAAAACATCAACAATTCATCGATGAATTGATGATGAAATGTTGATTAAAGGCTGATGAAATGTTGATGAATTGTTGATGATTCATCATCAATTCATCAACAATTTATCGATGAATCATCAACAATTCATCAACATTTCATCAGCCTTTCATCAACAATTCATCGATGAAATGATGATGAATTGTTGATGAATTGTTGTTGATGAATGCCTATGACATGCCCATGTTAAATTCATCAGTAATTTGTATGGCCATTCATCGATGAATCATCAACAACACCCCTTCGGCTATTGATGAAACGTTGATGAATTGTTGATGAATGGTACTGCAGGGTACATACATATATATGTTCAGTATTTCATCAACATTTCATCAGTATTTAATCAGTATTTCATCAACATTTCAGCAACATTTCATCAGTATTTCATCAACATTTCATCAACAATTCCGCTTTTTAACAATTTAATTCAAATATAATAGAAAAATTCATAAAATTTTATTGTTATTATTTATTGTATACTAAAATTAAAACACAAATATAAACAATTAACATTAAATTCATATATCAAAAGGCCTCAAGTTCTGTTTGCTCCTCGGTTTTCCGCTTTTTATTGACGTAGACCAAATTTTTTGCGCAGTAACTTCTCTGGAGGCTCAGTTCTATCCACTTGGGCAATTGCATCTACAAAAAAATAATAATTAATCAAGGGAATACATAATAATACAATTAAATAGAATTTACCCAAAAGATCCTTGTTTCAATATGTTGGCCATTACTGCAGTCCGAAAAGAAAAAAATAATATAATATATAATAAATAAAATAATACACATAGGCTTTTATTTAATTAAAAACATTCACTTTACTCACCTTTTTATATATTCCTATGGAATTTATATAAAACAGAGTTTATACAAACTCTAAGAAGCCGCCAGCCAGATTTGCCAAATAGTTTTTTTTTTTTTCGCATAATATTTATTGGTTTTATAAGCTTTGCTGCTTTAAGCTTAACATCTACTATTCAATCATTGGTTCAATAACATGTAGCAGAGGAAACAATTTATCAACATTTCATCAGCCTTTAATCAACATTTCATCATCAATTCATCGATGAATTGTTGATGATTTTTTTTTCATATATAAAAATAAAACTCTTAAATTTTTATTAATATTATTTATTCTTACAAATTCTATACCTAAACTAAAACACAAATATAAAAAATTAAGATTAAACATCCATATATTAAAAGGCCTTAAGGTCTTTTTGATTCTTGGTGTTCCGCTTTTTATTCATGAAGACCAAATTTATTGCGCAGTATCTTCTCTGGAGGCTCAGTTTTAGTCACTTGGGAAATTGCATCTACAGAAAAAATTATAATTAATCAAGGGAAAATATAATTTAATTAAATAAAATTACCCAATTTATTGGCCATTACTGCAGTCTGAAAAGAAAATACATACATACATATATAAATATAATATATTATATACATATAATAAATAAAATAATATATGTACATTTATAGGCTTCTATTTAATTAAGAACAATCTTTTTACTCACCTTTTTTTATATTCCAATATGGCCCGGAACGTAATTATTGAATTATTTGATTTCTTAATATTTTTAACACACGACACTTCTGCAGTGGAGAACACTTCAACTTGTAATACAAAGGGAATAAGAAGAAGCAAGACGAAACCGAAAACCGCTGCTCCGAAAATATGGAGTCGAACCTTCGAGAATCTATTTTAATTGCGTCTTCTACTTTGTTTCGGACTTCAAAAAACGAAGCCCATGCAAATTGTTTTTGTTTTTTTTTTTTGCATGCACCAACAAATCGGACTCGAAGGGAGGTCGGGTCTCCGAAGGGAGTTCGGGTTCAAGTAGCAGTCGGCAGAGCGTCGATTCTGTCGGCGCGTTGATGAATTGTTGATGAAAAGGCCTATTGATGAAATATGGTACTGCAGGGAAGTTTTCTATAATAACAGTATTTTCATTTTGCCAAATACATATGTACATTTTACCTATGTATGTATATGTACTTATTATGTTTACAGTTTGACAGTTACAATTTTACATTCCCAGCTTTACATTTTCTCTACATTTACCGATCGCTTTTATAACAGCTATGTACATATATGATATAGTTGTCCGATTTTCATAATACATATATATACCAAAATTCTGAAATAATAAAAGCTCATATCTCAGAGTAGATGAAAATAGGTTAAAAAACAACGAAGTTATAATATTTTTCTATTAATTTCCCGATCGTTCCTATGGCAGCTATAAGATTATATAAAATTAAAATTAATAATTATAAAATTAAATCCGAAAATCCCAAATAATATAATTTTGCCATATCTCAAAAACAGCTCGCAGGGTTGAGTCCCGATTTCCAAAAAGGTCTCAACATTAAGGTTACGTAACCGGTTAGCGTCGAAAAGACTCAACGAGACATCTTCCATGGGCCCTTTTTCTATTCTCTCTCGGTTGAAGCTGAGAGAGCGGGCTCGTTGTCTGAAGTGTGACCGGTTTCTTCGCGGAAAGTTCTCGCTGTTAATTTGTACATTTCGCGTGGCGTCAGTTGATTGTTTGCACAATTTCTTAATTTTTGACAACAAACATTTAAAAATGTAAATGATTAAATTAAATTAAATTAAATTAAATGATTAAAATAAATAACAAATGAAAAAAAAGAAAAAAAAAACATTTAACACAAACTTAAGTTTATTCCTTCATTCATTTGTGTTTAAATTGTTTGTAGAATGTATTTTTAATTTTTCGTAAAAATACGAGTGCTTCATCTCTCCCTCTCTCTCAGGCACTCTTTTCGACTCAGAAGCGAGCGAGTAGTTTCTTTGCCGCTTCGTTTCCCGAAAGCTTTGTCTTTGCGATCTCCCGTTACAGTTAACCGGAATCGCAAACAAAGCAAAGAAGCGAGAACATCTGCGAGAGAGACCCTTTTCAGGCTATTTGGTTGTTTCTCTTTCCGAAAGAATTCGAATGATCAAAACGGTTGACCGTTTTGTGCGAGCTCTGCTCAAAAATGATGCAAAAATGTTGAAAAACAGCAAAGTTATAATTTTTTTCTTAAAATGTATCGAACATTTGTATGGCAGCTATATGATATAGTCGTCCGATCCTAGCAAGTGTATAAAAAAGAAGAGTGAAACTGATCACCCATTTTCCTTTTTAAGGTTGTCTTTTTAGACACCCATTATAAATGTATGCATACAAAAAATGACCTAACCCAGCAGGCAAAGAGCGGTCTCAGTGCGGATGGATCCGAGAATTGTCCGCTAAAAATATTAAATGCGAACAAAGAATCGGAGTTTCCGCATTAGGTTCGGGGAATGCTCAAAAACGGACGCGCAAACGGACGAAAAGCAAAACTGTGGCGTTCCCCGTGAATGTACCGAAAACGTATTGCTAACGGACACTGAAACGTACAGTGGGCGGCCAAATAGCGAACTTACCGCAATAGGTTTGCCTAATTGTCGAAACCTGGTCCGAAAACAGATACTGAAACGGGCTAACACTGGGACCCGTGCAAATGCCGCAAATGTCCCGCTAACGGACACTAAAACGCACTGCACGCGTTAAAAATCTTGTCGTCAACGAAATTTCTAGAACTCGATGAACGGTTCTTCTCCTTCCTTTTTTTGTCGCTTGCCTGTTTTTTGGTATTTCGCTGCAAATGAGCGAGAGGCAAATATTATTGCATCATCTTTTAACTCTTTTGGTTTGTGGAATTTTTCCCGTTGCGACTCTTTTCCTTTTGACCGGCGAGTTGTGCGGACGTGAGTGTACAGTTTTTTACAAGACGCACGTGTTTTCAACGGTAAGTGTTAAATTTTAATTGATTAATATGTACAATCTCATACTAATGAACTAATATTGACTAGATTTTTATTTATTTATGCTGGCGAGACTTAATTTCCGACGAAGTGGCGCGCCAATGGTCCTGGTTTGGGACAGAGTCCAAAATGTCCATTCGAGAGATGCTTATTACGTCATCCGTCAAAGGTATGTATATTTTTCGTATATTTTTTAATACGTATATACTTATAATAATTTATATTTTTACAGCCGCTTTTATAAACAAATTTCCGTTGGAGGATGCAAGCAGACACAAAAGCAGAATGCACAGGACGGTTTGTATTAGTATTAAGTATTATTAGTTTTAAGGAAATGAACAAATCTTAAGTAAAATGTTTATTTTTTAAGTTAAATAATGATAAATAATAAATAATGATAAACATAAATAAATGTATGTTTTATTTACATTTAAAAAACAAGAAATTCTAAAAAAATTTAGTTGGAAATAGATATTAAAAACGTATCTGAAACGCATCGTCAAAAGGTCCGCAAACAGTACTTCCTGCGGTATTGCCACAGGTCAGCAAACGATCCTTTTTCGGGTATCGTAAAGGGGTTGCTATCGGTACTGTTTCCGGTCTCGCCACAGCGTCCGCAAACGCTATTAGTTCGTGCTCCGAAAATGAGAGGTTTTGGTGCCACAAACCCCAGGACATGTAATTTACTTTGCTACCGTTCTTGAGCCTAAAATCGGACGTTTTGTCCGCCTGTGGTCCGCAAAACTTCAGTTTTTAATATTTTTTACGAAGTTTTTGTCTGCTGGGAAGCCCGAACCATGCTTGTATGAGATCACCCGAAGCATTTTTTGAATCACTCGCTAGCGCTTCCGCAGTAACAAAAAACAATCGGGTGCCAAATACACCCGAGTGCCAAATACACCCGGGTGCCAAATACACCCGGGTGCCAAATACACCCGGGTGCCAAATACACCCGGGTGCCAAATACACCCGGGTGCCAAATACACAATGTCTAAGACACCCGGTGTTTGGCCGGTGCACTTGTAGTTCCGGTGGCTTGCTGCCGTTCTCTGATGCCAATGTTAAATTCATTAACAGTTTGTATGACAATTCATCGATGAGTCATCAACAATACCCCTTCGGCTGTTGATGACAGGTTGATGAATGGAACTGCAGGGTAATAATTTAAGTTAATTCTAAGATGTGGCTAAGTATAAGTAAAATTTTTTTTTTGTCAAACCTTTTGAAAAGGTCTAAACGCATGTTAGGCGGCCATTATAAAATACATATATTAAAGCCCTAGTAATGGGCTTGTTGAGGGCATACTTAGTTCTACAGAATGGAGTAGCAAAAGGTACAAAAGATCTTAGCTGCCTACCAGGAACACAAATGTGTACGAGGGTTTGTAAAGCGGGGCAGTCAAATTTGCTTGAAATCAGGTCCAAAATTTTCAGAACGGTTGATACAGCTATTCTATCCTCTAACGAAGACAAATGCACTAGTCGACATTTAGCGGAATAAGAAGCAGGATCGTGGAAATTAAGAGAGCAAAGGGCGAAAGATAGACTTTTTTTGTATACGTTCAAGTCGGTGTGAGTGTATGGGTCCTGAAGGATTCCATATAAATGAGGAATACTCCACCTTAGACCTTACGAATGTGAAAAATAGGCTGAGTTGGGTGTAAGGGTCTGAAAATTGATCCGCATTACGCAATATCAAGCCATACATTGCATACGCTTTTGGAATCAATGAATAGAAATTTGGCATCAAATATTACACCCATATCTAAGGCTTAGTTCTGCAGTGCAGCACACTAGATTATTAAGACGTTTGCTGTAAGTAACAGAGAAGCATTTAGGAAGGTTCAAAGGCAGCTTATTACGAGAACACCAATTCCCAACTCTACACAAATCCTTGAATATTTTTAAATCATAAGCAAACATAAGAAATTCTGAATTCTTAAAGCATTAGACTATATCATTAATGAAGAGGATGACAAGAAATTAACTTACATACTAGAGATGTAAAGTACAGTTTACAGTTTAAAATTGTACATACCAGGGTTTGTATTTACTACTCTGTAGCAGCGAGATTTACACAAATATTGCTATGTTACCGTTCCCGCTCTCACTTTGACGAGAGCCGTCGAAGAGCTACATATAGCAGAAGACCGGTAAAGCCTCTGCTCTGCTTGCAGTTTTGTCGCTTGTAGCGGTTGTAAAAACTGAGAGCGAGATGAGAGCAGAGCATATAATTGATCCAATTTGAAAGAATAATGAATTCTAAAACAAATTTCGGAGTATTTGCATGCTAATTCCCTCAATCGCGAATTTTCATTATGTTCGAATTGAGCGCCTCATCCAAAGTACCAATCTGGTAACTCTTGCGCATATCTTCTTTTGTTCTCCATTCAAGATTAGAATAAACTTATATGTTTTAATCCTAAATGGCTAAAGTGTACTTATTTACTCTGGATTCTCATGCACCTGCGTTGGGGGGAAAATCCCAACAGGTTATGGGCCCAGGACGCGTAGTATCGAAGACAGATAATTAAATAAGTGCGAAATGAGAGAAACGAGAGACGCTGTAAAAAATGGCGGGTACATACATGCCCATCGAACCGCTAAACGCGGAGAACTACGACACATGGAAGTTGCAAATGTGTGCTATACTTGTGAAGAATGATTTATGTGAACGGTACGAAAAAGTGTCCCACTAATGAAAGTGATCTCGCAGAATGGACCATTAAGGACGAGAAAGCTCGACCAGATATACTTTTGTCGATACATCCGAGTACATCCGAGTTAGGTTTGATCGAGGATTGCACCACATCGAGAGATTATTGTTTGAAATTGCAAACCACATTTCAATCAAAAGGGCCAGTGCGAAGGTCAGCTTGTTAAAACGTGTCGCGAATGAGTGAGGGAGACGACGCAAATCTCCACATCAACGGTTTTTTCGATGCAGTGAAGAAATTGAAAAAGATCGGAGTGACAATTGGAGATGATTTGCTTGCGATTCTCTTGGCAAGTCGTCACGTGCTCCTTGTTAAAATATTGGAGGAATCGGAGGCAAGAAAAACGAAAAGTGACCGCGAAGGACAAAGTGCTTTGTACGCAAAAACTAGTAAAGAAGGCAAGCCTCAAAAGGAGAACAGAAAGTGCTTCGTGTGCAACAAGGTAGGACATAGAGCGCGAAACTGTCGAGTGAAGCCGAAAGAGAACTATAGTGCAAAAAACGAGGAACGATAAACCAACGGAAATCGGTACAAAAACATGCATTCATAGCCGAAGGGCGTAATGATATGTGGTGTCTGGACAGCGGTTGTTCGGCATATGAGTTCTAATAAGAATTTGTTCGGACAAAGCGAAATAGAAACATGGTATCGTCGGATGGGCCACTAAATGAGAAAGACTTAAAGAGAATGGCATTGTGTGAAAAAGTTCACGGAATGAAGCTAAAAGAAAATGACAAACTACCGCAATGTGAAATTTGCATCAGCGAAAAGCAAACGGCAAATACGTATAAAAGTCTCCAGAAATTGTGCACTGTGACGTGTGTGGACCGATGCGTACACAGTCAAAAAGTGGGTGCAAGTACTTCGTTACATTTATCGATGACTATTCGCGATGTAGCTCGGTATATTTTTTAAAGCAAAAATCGGACGTATTAAACGCGTTTAAATCATTCAAAGCCTTAACAGAAAATGTAACAGGTAACAAAATTAAACAATTACAGAGCGATAATGCTACCGAATTCCTGAATAAGGAATCCGACGAATTCCTGGGACAAAGCGGAATTAGCAGACGTGTGTCAACGCCACATACTCCGCAACAAAACGGCGTGGCAGAGCGGCAGAACCGCACACTGGTAGAAATGGCAGAAGCTTTTAGCACGGCTTCCTATCTGCGTAACCGGTTCCCAACGAAGGCTCTACTTGGGGAGCTACCCTACACCTATTGGACAGGTAAAGTTCCGAAGGCGTATGCATTAACCCTTTCATGCCCAAATTAAACTGGGAACACATAGAAAATACTTAACGCCATAAATGATTAATAGGAGCCCCAATTAGCGTTCATTTTGATTTTCGATACTCTACCAGGGGTGTTAGTTGAAGTTTTACTGTTGATGCCGCTAGCAGTACTATATACATTAGTATCATGCGGCATATGTGTAATTTTTTTCTGTTGACATTAACCTAAAGAAATACACAAGTCGCATTCCGTCAAAATAAAAACATCATACTCTTTTACCTCAGTAATTCGAGTTATTAAAACCTTGGTCAAATTATTAAAAAGTATCGCTACCGAGGACAAGCTATCAATTTGAATAATAAGTTGATCGAAAAACGGCCGAATGGGCCCGAAAACATGGCAAAGTTATCTTGCAACATGACAACGCGCCGACTCATACCGCTAAACTGACGAAGGACACACTGAAAGGACTTGATTGGGAAATATTATCGCACCCGCTGTACTCTCCAGACCTCGCCCTGTCCGACTATCACCTTTTTGCATCGATGGGACACTCAATGGCAGAGCAGCACTTCGCCAATTTTGAAGAAGTCGAAAAATGACTCGTCGAATGGTTTGCCTCGTAAGAAAAAAAGTTGTTTTGGAATGGTATCCATAATTTGCCTGAAAGATGGGCGAAATGTGTAGAAGCCAACGGTCAATACTTTGAATAACAAACTTTTCACATTGAGAATTGAGTGTTTTCTTTATCGAAAAAACCGGCAAACTTCACACCTGGTAAGTCCTTAGGTATGTCCTTACTGCAATGTTGCCTATAGGCAACATTTGTCCATCCACACTCTTTATAAAACAATTTTCAAGCCCAACTTTATACTTTTATCACAGTCTTACCTATTTTAAAGATGTGTACGTATTTTTTTTTTTAATTTTTGTCACTTATTTTAGTTAAGGGGGTCTTCTCATTGGGCAACTTTTTTTTTCGATTTTTTTTTGCATTTATTTATAGCTTGGGATATTGTGTATATGTCCCCAAAAGGATTTTTAGAAATTCGAAATACTTTAGAAGATACAGCCTTTTTTGTGAAGCAAGGTCTTCGCAAAATGAGCTTTTTTCAAACTTCAAACGCGTTTATCTCGAAACCACGTTTTTCGAACTGGCGGCCATGATATCTCCAGTTCAACTGAACCGATTTTCATGAAACAAAGTGGAATCGACGCAGAATTGTCACCATTCTCGGGTGACGGAACAGATTTTTTTTTAAAATTTTTTTTATATTTTTTTTACACTAAACTACAAAAAAAAAGCCCCAAATCGAAATTTTTTTTTTGAATGGCCGCCATTTAGTTTTAAAAATTTTTTTAAAAAATCTGTTCCGTCAGCCGAAAATGACATCTATTCTGATTATAACCCCGTTTTCATTTTTCATTTCGCAC